AAACAAGCGGAATATAATTAATTAGTCAACAACTCAGTTTTCCATGTATACAACGGTCTCCCATCCACGGGGCCACTTCTCACACTCTTTGGTTGTTTAATAACATTTAATTAATTTATTAGAGTATAGCAGGATGGCCTCAATCTCCTAGTCAAGGATGACTGAATTTCTCTACCTCCTAAGTGCTAGGTTTACAAGCATGTACCACCACGCGTGGTTTACACAATGCTGGGGATCAGTTTCAGGTGTGCTAGGCAAGTCCTCTAGCCACTGAGCTCTACCCCCTTACCCTTTCGTTACATTTTATTGCTGTGTTTCAATTCATTGTAAAGCATGTCTTTTGTTCTTTTGTGTTGTTTCCATTTTGACAAGTAACTATTTTTTTTCCCAAGAAGGGTTTTTTTTTTTTTTTTTAAATTACATTAAAAAAGTCCCCCAAAGTACTTCAAAGACTTGCTAACACACACTGGAGACCTGATAAGTATTTGTGTCTTAAACAGCCTTAGTGCTAGAAATATATTAAGAATATTGAATGAGATGGGCAGGTCTCATTGGTACCTGTACTGTGGGTCAGATCTCTCCAGATGTTCATGGGAACCTTGGGAAAAATGGTGCTACAAGTTTCCAGAAGAAGAGGAACTAGAATGCCTCTGGCTTTCACATGATGAAACATCCGAATTAATGACTAATAAGAGCTTACCCACTAAATAGGCTGCGGACAGCATCTCTTCAAAGATCAGGTCCTGTAAGCAAAGGACCAGAGATATTTTCCCTAAAGCCACCAACTACAGTCATGGCCTGGATGCATTTTGCAATTAACCAGGCATTACAAGGGGAAGCAATGACAAGTGCCAGATATAGGGACCCTGACAACACCCCCAAGTAACCCCAAATCTGCGTGTGAAATGCTGGATTTGGGGGTCTGATAGGATGTTAAGGGCAATTATTTTAAAAAATAGAATTGAAGATGTAAAGGTGTCTATCTTTAAAAGAAAAATAAGATTTCTGATATTCTCATTTAGCAATTCAATGGATAAAATCAATGCTCTGGGGCAACTTTAACAGCAGATGCAACAAAATGATAATGAATTCCCCTCAAAATTGAGCACGTCTCAAAAATATTCTTCATAAATTTGCTTTGCAATTTTTGAGAAGTTAAAAGTAGTTGATTCTTTAACATCAACATATATGTTACAACACACATATCCTGTGACTATGTTCATTTTTTATCTGAAAAAAATGAGAAATAGCTCCAACTATTTGTGTATGAAAGTGAGGACACATTCAATATAAATTTAGCAATCATTTCTTCATATAACACTTACTGAATGGCTCTCTGTACCAGGAATTTTGATAGGACCTGAGCATAGAGAAGTCAACAAAATAGATGTGGTTTCTGCCCCCACGAGGATAATTTAACTGGAAATTTTACATTAAACAAACAGCAAGTAATCTGACTGTTAAGATAGTTACTAAACATACAAATCGTGTTCACTTTTCAGTTCACTCAAAAAAAAAAAAAAAACCAACAAACTATGGTTTCCTGTAAAGAGGTAGTTTTGACTGGATTTTGATGCCTTCCAAAAGAATCAATAAAAAAGAACAACAACAACAACAAAACCCCAGAAAGTCTACACAGACATACTAAATTACTTCTGAATGAATTTACGTTGGATGTGAAAAATAACAAAGGCCCCTCCCCCAAGGAGCAGTGCAAGTTCTTCTAGAAATACCTTTAAAGGACAGCAGTTTCTAGGAGGAGAATTAATGGCCATTTTAGGTTAATGGTCACTGGCTTCATGTTTGGCCCTCAATTAAATGTTGAACTTCAACTGTTAGTACTTAATTGACGTGGTTATATTTCATGCTGGCATTTCCAAATGACCTTCCTTTAAAAAAGCGAAGGTGCTCTGACCCAGGAGCGTGGCCACCAGTTGTACCTGACACGGCTGCCTTCCTCCACCTCCACGGCACACGCGGCTGAACTGAGGACTCGCTCTTCTTGGCTGCCGCTAGCCTAGTTTTTATCATCCTTGTCTCTGACACAAGACTGCTCAGAAGAAATCCACGCCAGGGAAAGAAGAATAAACATATCTATTGCCTCATTGAAACACCAAGTAAGCCCCCGGCACCACCGTAAGTGGAGGGGGTAGATATGATTTAGCAAATACTTTGGGGACCTAAGTACAGTCGAGCTATGCCTCATGTAAAAAATTGAATCATATGTATCTTTTTTTTTTTTTAACAAGTGACTCCAAATGTTCAGTTGTCGTAGGTAACTAGATAAAAACTACAACCTTTGTCCTCACACAGGAAGCACAAAGCACAAGTTGGACTCACCTAATCAATGATTGGGGTTTTATATAAAGTAGGCATGGCACCAAGACTGAACTCGGCTACAGTGACTGAAACAAATCAAGGCCCCAAATGAGCACTTCCTGCCACCCATGTATTGTAGAGAAGTTTTAAAAGGCTCTTTGGAATTACTTTGATCAAGCTTTGAAATCATTTTAGTGGATGACTATTGTATGAAAACCGTAATTTATGGTGCTTGACCTAAGCGGTGCTTTGTCTCACAGCCCTACTCCAAACAATAGCAGGAAAGCACAAAGCACTGGGGGGACACAGGCTCTTCTGGTTATTATTTAATTCATAATCCCATCTTCCTCATTTAACCTCTGAATCAGCCACGCTCTTCATCAAACAGCTTCAGATTGGCTTTCCTACCGACAGGAGGGTCAGGAGGATGATTAGACGGGCTCAACTATGTCACGCATGACCCTTCCTTAACCTAAGCGTGCTTCAGGTGGAGCTAGGCAGCCCGTGCTTGTCCCCCGGTGGTGACACGGCAGGCACACGCCCACTGTTTGCCTGGTAAGTTTCCCCTTACTTGGTTCCTTAACCCTAGTCAAGAATGTGCCCACGGGGAGAGCATCTCCTCCCATTCTTCTCATCAAATAGCGATTCTATGAAGTAGTCTCCTCTCAGAGACATGGGCAATGGCAAAGCTGCCCCACAATTGAGCAGAGTGACTCACTAAGCCAGACAGAAATTTGACTATTTTAATTCACAACTATGATCAGCTGAACACAATCACATGGGCTGAAACACACTATAAAACTTTCCATGTCTTGGCTTCTTTGGAAATTTTTGTTTGTTTGTTTGTTTCTTTCTTTTTCTTTTTCTTTTTTTTTTTTTTTTAAACAGAGGCTCACACTGTAGCCTGGCTTGGAAATTGTTATATAAACCAGTTTTTGGTTTTAAACTCATAGATATCTGCCTGCCTGTTTCCCAAATGCAGGGATTAATGATGCTCATCACCATATCCAGTTTTGTTGGCTCCTTTTGCCAAAACATTCACCTAAGGCATAAATCTCATATGAAATATTATCTAAGTTGAATGTAGTAGGATCCCCCAGGTGCTGGTAACATGCACGCACTCTGGTGCTTTGGCTTGTGAAGTGCATGGATTTCACTTTTACTTGGAGAGATTAGGTCAGTTGCTACTTCACAAGGATTTAGAGCTGTATCTTGCTTCAGGGATCATTGCCTACAAAGAAAAAAAGAGATGAGTAGGAAGGTATATCCATGTGGTAGAAAGCTCAAGAAGCTTAATGAGCAGGATGATGACCAGGAAGAAGCAGGGAAGGAAAAACACACAGCTGAAAGTCCAGGCCTAAAGCAGATCCCAAAGAGCAAACACCGGGCATCTTGGTTTCAAAGCAGAAAGCAGTGGGTGGAGCTCCCCAGGGAGAGTCGAGTCAACTAACTGTTCACTTTGGTGCTGTGTGTTAATTAGTGTAGCCAGCTAGGGGACTATTTAGGTTACCTCATCAGGGCTCTAAGCAGTCCCCTCCCTGGTGGCTCTCATGAGTTAATGCAATCCCCAAAGACCAACTCTTCATCATCTTTTCCACAGTGGCATCAAGCCTTGCAGGTGATGAGCAGGTACACACTCACACTTAAAATTAATACTTTCCCTAGAGGTGGACTTTGGAACTCCGAACCTCCTGTCACGTGTGAGGCTTACACACACCTCACCGGAAGGTAAAAGAAAGTCTCAATCGTTTGTGTTTTAGGACGGGGGAGGGAAGGATAGAGGGGAGGAGTCCACCCAGTCACCTTTGAACGCCAGGTGGATCAGCTTTGTTCTCAGTCAATCCCTCTCCACTCTTCAAAGACATCTGAAGGATTTGTGGGTGCAGTTGTGGAACGAGTCTCTGTGGCAGAGAGAGCACTATGTAGAGTTATGCTTTACTCATATTCCTGCATCCTGACTTGGCACAGTTCATCAGCACAGTGTGCCAAATGGTCTCCAAAAATACTAAAGATTTGACTTTAACATTAATATTCTAATGAGGACAGCCATATACAAGCAAGGCATACCATGACTGCTGTCCCGGGGCCCATGTTTGGATTGCCTACACGAAAAAAAATTAACAAGCAAGCAACACGTAAGAATGTGGCGCAAGTAAGTATGTTTTAAGATTTTTTTCATTTTATGTGAATGAGTGTTTTGCCTGCATGTATGTATGTGTACTGCGGGCATGACTGGTGTCCATGGAGGCCACTGGATCTCCTGGAACTGGATTACAGGTAGTTGTGAGCTACCGCGTTGGTGCTGGGATTTGAACCTGGGTCCTCTGCAAAAGCAGCAAATGTTCTTAACTGCTGAACATCTCTCCAGTCCCCAGATAAGTATTTTTAAGATGAAAAGAACAACAAAGCGGTTTTAAGCTTCTCACCTGGGAGCAACACTCTTTCTTTCCCACGGATCTCAAATTCAAACACGGCAGACACAAGGATCACACTAGTTTTTTTCAGTAACTCATAAACTTACCACAGTGTGTAATTTACCGTAGGTTTCTTTCTTGCTGTGAGGGGCCAAACTGGGATGCTTCACTATAAATACAAGGTGGTGTCTCTGTTGGGGCTACCAGGACCTTTTCACAACACATTATATCAGGGCTTCAGGTAGAAGAATGAACGCAAAACATAAGCACCTTTTGAGCTTTTAAAATTTATTTGTGCACACTCATCATAAATTAGGCTAATGTTAAAACAAGCAAATCTTTGACAAGGGTTTAGCAGGATTTTCAATATCTGTGCAGATACATGTCATTTACTGCACCCTCCCCAAAACAACAACAGCAACAACAACAAAAAAAACAAAAACCCCCCAAAACAAAACAAACAAAACCAGTGGCTGAGGGCATGCTATAAAAACAGATTTTTGTAGTTTTCTTTAAAGTGTGTGTATAAAGGCAATGGAGTGGTGTTCTCGAACCATCTGTTTCATATGCAAAACCTGCCTGAGGCTTCCTCCCCACTCTGCCTCCGACCCCGTGATTTAGTGCCGTCTCCCAGGAGGGCTTACCATCCTATCCTGACCTGCCACACTCGTGGCCCTTGGCAGGAAGGCAACAGGGCAAGTTTCTCACTGACCAGGTACAAGAGGAACTCACCAATGTGTAAGACTTAAGGTGTTTCCAAAAGCCTTATTTTTACTTCTAAAAACATCTACTCAATATTTTAAAAGCGACATTTTTACAAGCACTGGGGCAAATATTGTTAAATACTTTTTTTTTTGGGGGGGGGATACAGATTACTTTTAAATTTCCCAAAAGATAGGTTTATAATTATTTTATTGATGTTTTGCTTCGGACTGAAGTCTGGTCTGCAGTATATAAAAGTGAATAAATACAAAATCTCTTTTATTTTGCTTATTTAAAAATTACTCTAGGATTTTTCTGGAACACTTAATTCATTCAAAGCTGACTATAATGTCTAAATTATTTGGGCATTATACAATTATTTGGTATAAAATGCAGACACAAAGCAGTATGTATGAATGTACTTAAAAAAAAACTCATAAAAATAGTGGCCAACATTGTATAGGCCACCAGTCATGTTTCAAAGGCCACTGTAGAGAGGGAGGCTGAGCGTCAGTCCTCTGCCTCAGCCCCAAGCCAAAGGAGCATGGTTTGCCGGACACAAAGCGTCTCATACTTTAAGGTGAGATCAATGTGAAATGCTCGTGTTCAAATAAGCTTCATGAAAAGAGGAAATTCTCATCAAGGGGGATTTTTGCAGCTTGGCTGGATGCCACAGAAGTCACAAGGCCGTAGGTCTCCACAGAAAAGGTCCTGTCCGGCTCTGCTGAGCCCCAGGTGAGAAGGAACACTTGCTAACAGACTTCCTGTCTCCAGCTTTTCTAGGTTTGTGCTAGGTTATTCCCTGATGTTAGTGCAACACTTAGTACCAGAGTATACCAATGCAGAGAAAGCAGGGAGAGCCAATGAATGGAGCTTTAAAAGGAAAAGCAAGGGAGTGTTCCATAACGGAGGAGAACTGAAAAATCACACCCTTCAGTCTCCACACTGTCCCTTCTGTTCGGTATGCAAGGAGAAAGCATTCGGAAGGAAGCAGGATTATGACTATCTATAAACTAACTGTGTCGGAGACGGAGATGCTGATAATGAGTGGGTTGTGTCCGCAGTTCTTGGCTATTCACATCGGCTAGCGATGAAGGAAAACAGAAACTCTTGATATGTTTGTCTAGAGAGGTAGGGCTGCGACTGCAGCAGCCAGGGTTCAGCTGAAGTTCAGGGCAGATGTTGCCAGAAGTTTATACAGCAGGAAAGTCACATTGCTTCCGGCTTCTCTTCCAGGATCTTCAGGGTCAAGCTGTGCTATGGCATAAGGTGACGATGTCTGTGGGGAAAGAGGCTTTGAGCAGGATGCCTCTTTCCCGGTTACAGTCCAGTTCCTGGATAAATCCGTACCAATAGATGACCAAGCCTGGTCCAAACCTGTAAAAACAACAGAAAACATCACGCATGGCCAGAAAACAGACATCTTAGAGGCATAGAGAAAAGACAGTTAAGTGAGTATACCAGCTTGCTATCGTGAGGATGGTAGGCAGCTGAGTACAAACTTAAGCATTCACTTAATGCAACTGTGGCGACCTTGACAGATGTGTTTGCTTTCCAGGAGCCCAGCAGACCCAGAGTCACCTGTAACATCTTTAGTAAAGGGCCATGGGTATGAGCTGCGGTAATCACTGCCTAGCCGTGGAAGGCCACAACTGAAGTAGATCAGAGATGAGCTGGGAACACCTGGCTTAGGGCGGTCGGTCTTCTAATATTTCCTGGTACTATTTTAAAAATTAAACTTGCCTACTTTTATAATGGAAGGAAAAAAAAATGTTTGAACAACTGGGCATGGTGGTGCCTATTCGTTATCACAGCACTCAGGAGGTGGAGGCAGGAGGATCATCAGCTTGAAGCCAATCTGGGCTGTGTAGCAGGACACTGTTTCAAAAACATTAAAAAAAAAAAAAAACTTAAAACAATGGGACTGATTAAAGTTCTCTCTAGCTATCATGTTTAATTCAAGTATCAGTGTGCCCAAAAGTATCTCCTGCTATTCATTATTTCTAACTTAAAAAAGTTTCCATGTCTGACTCCCCATGGGAGGCCTTACCCTTTCGGAGGAGGGGATGGAGGGGTGGGTGGGGATGGGAGGAGGAATGAGAGTGGGATCTGTGGTTGGTATGTAAAATGAATAAAAATTTTCTTAAATTAAAAAAAAAAGCAACGAAGAAAATCTGCATGTCAAGCTAGGATGCTTCAACGAGACCTCTACCCAACACTCTACGGGATCTCTGCATCGCAACCTATGCATGGAGGTAGTGAGAAATCTGCTGGTAAGTTCCCACAGGGACAAGGGATAAAGTCAGAGAGATTTGTGACCAAGTGTGGACAGACAGATGGAGGCTTAAGAGCCCAACATGCTTAAGTTGTG